CATTGTCGGATGTATCACGGCATCCCTGGCCTCTGCTCATGAGACGCCAGCCGCAATCTCACCTCCCAGGAGCCTAATCAAAAGGGCCCCAGACACTGCCAATGTCCTCAGGGAGGAGAAGAGAAGACCACATGGTTCCCAGTTGAGAATCACTGCACTGCACCACTGGTGACCAAATCCTCGGCCTCCCAAACGGGTACTCTTTTGTTGACTCACGTAAATACTTTTGGCTTTCAAATAAACATCTGAAAATGTTTAATACTTATTAAACAAGAAGTATTCATTATTAATACTTAATACTAATGTATTAAACCATCATATTAATTACAAGGACTCCTGGTGGCACTGGAGGTTAGGAATTGGGCTTCTAATCGTAAGGTTGGTGGTTCAAACCCATAAGCTGCTCCAAGGGAGAAAGATGAGGCTTTCTGTTTCCAAGAGATTTTCAGTCTCAGAAACCCTATCCTGGGTCACTATGAGGTAGAATCGACCTGATGGCAGTCAGTTTGATAGAGTAAGCATATGTCAGATGGTGTTTGTAACAAGCTCTTAATAATGAGACTAACTGCACTGATGCATCTGCTTTGGATTGAATTCTAAGCTTCCTACACCCCACACCCCCACCCTACCTCCTTGTGCCCCCCCGAAGTATTAATCTGGCTAGATCATGATTCTCAGTATTATGCAATTATTATCTATTTTATGATCTGATATATTTATCCAATGTGCTATAAACCTCAACTTCTATGATATTAATGAGAAAGGATGCAATCTACCAGACTAGGTTTTTATCTTGTCAACCTCTTTAGAAATATAAATGATTAACCAAGTGAGAGGAGATAGAAGGGATTTTTCACCCCCAAGACAAAAGGGCCAGAAATGGAGCCTGTTCTTTGGATCTGCTCCTGCTGCTGAGCACCTCCTAGATCTAGGGGTGGGGGGGGTGGGGGGTGGATGGCATGACACATGAGGGCGTCTACAAGATGCTGGGCCCACAGCTTCAGAAAGGAGCGAAGAACCTTCCCTAGGATTTGACAGGGAGAGAAGCCCTCTGCCAGATCTGTAACTCTGAGCGGGACTCCCTAAAATGGAAGAGCATCAGTTTCTGTTTCTGACAGTCACCTGTTTTGATATTTGTTTATCAATTGCATTAAATAACTATGACATGATCTATCTGTATGGGCCTGATGTGAGCACAAACATGACCTGTGAATACAGAGAAGGCTGAAACTATGGAATCAATGAGAGTGGGAGAGTCTCAGTTTTAGTTAGTCAAAACACAGTGATGGCATGTTTAAGATGCTTCAGGCAAGACCCTCACCTCACGCCATGAACAAGAATAACGTCGAGGTGGATCACAGACCTCGAGGTAAAAACCTCAAACTATCAGGGCCATCAATGAGGGAATTGGGACAAACCTGAGAACTTTGGTGCAGGGAATACACAGGCTATCGGAAATATCAGGAAGGACACAAACACGAGGAAGCACAAATTGACAAGTGAGATATACTAAAGATAAAACACCTGTGGATATCAAAAGACTTCACCAACAGAGTAATAAGAGAGCCCACAGACTGGAAAAACCTCTTTAGCAATGTCACAGCCAACAAAGGCCTTATTACTAAAATCTACAATACTCTGCTAGCCTACAACAAGAAAAAAACTAACTGCCCACTGAGGAGGTGGGCAAAAGACCTGAAGAGAAGTTTCACAAGGGCGGAAATCCGAATGGCTAATAAACATGAGAAAATGTTCCTGATCAATAGCCATCAGGAAGATGCAAATTAAAACAACTATGAGATACCACCTACTGTATATACTCGTGTATAAGCCGAGTTTTCCAGCACATTTTTAGTGCAGTTTTTGTGGTAAAATTAGGTACCTTGGCTGATATTCAGGTCAGCTTATAGTCGAGTATATATGGTCACACCCTCAAAGGCCAATTCAAGAAATCAGAAAGTAACAAATGTTGGAGGGGCTGTGGTGAGACGGGAACTCTCATCCACTGCTGGTGGTCCTGTAGGTACATGCAGCCACTGTGGAAATCAATCTGGTGATACCTAACACTAATGGAAACCGAGCTACCATAGGATCCAGCAACCCCCTCCTGGGCGTATACCCAGGAGTAAGAAACAGATCAAGACCAGATAACTGCATTCCAATGTTCAGTGTGGCTCAGTTCATAATCCCGAAGAACTGGAAACAATCTAAATTTCCAGCAACCGACGTTTGTAAAAAAAACCTCTGGTACATACAAATAATGGAGTACTATGCAGCCCTAAAAAGCAGTGAGGGACCCATGAAGCACATCATCTCATAGAAGGAGCTGGAGGACATGATGCTAAGCGAAGCTAGCCAAGCACCCGAGTCCACTGAGGTAAGCTCAACAGTGCAGTGAGCACAGAGGATAGGCAACTGAACGCATAATCCCGGGTCGAGGTCCAAGCACTTTGGCTGGGGTCAGACCCTACCCAGGGATCCGCATGGCAGCCAACTAAAAAGGAGCGGGGAAAAGAGAGTGGGGGGAAATGAGGGTGGTGGGGGAACAGGGCACTAATCCACCCACAGGGACTGTATTGTTTATGTCTCCACAGGAAGGGAGAAAGAGACCAGACCCCATCCCGGAGCACGAAGCCTTGAGAGCAATATACCGGCATGGAACAATTAACTAACAGAGAGGATGACAGGGCCAGACCCAAGCCCAGCTACGTTGAACCCCTCCCCAGAAAAATGTAATACAGGACAGCACTGAAGATATAGCCCAGGGATAGTAGTGGGTCTGTCCAGACCACAGGGAGCAAGCTGAGAGGGAGGGAGGGAAGAAGGGTGAGAGGGAAAGAGAGAGAGAAAGAGAGAATGAATATCAATCTCATGATGACCCACCAAGCCCCGGGGACGACATCCCTGCTCAGAGCAGCCAATACACAGAGAGGACTATAGGGCTGGCCTCACCATGAGACACACTGTCCCCTCACTGACCTAAGGTGCTACAGGGAACAGCACTGGAGACACTGCTGAAAGAGGGCCTGGTCTACCTCGTGCACTGTGAGACGAAACACAAAGGGAGCACAACAGGGCAGCAAGGGGAGCAAAGTAACCAAGTTACTGAGGAATCCTGAAAATAGACTTCTGAATGGGGGGACAAGGCTCGGCACCTCATCAGACCCGATTGGAAAACACTAATAAAGGTCAGTAGACAGACCTGGAACTACTTTTTTTTTCTTCTTCTTTTCTCTTTCGCTCTATGTCTATCTATATAAGATAGACAGGATAAACAATCCCAAAGAGAAAACAATGGGACCATATTCCAGGGAGTATGGGGGAGGGGGAGCCAACAAACTCAGGGATAAAGGAACAACAAGAGTTGTAAAATTGATGGTGAGGAGGGCGTAGAATACCTGGTGGGGTTTGATCAAGTGCAATGTATCCAAGAGGAATTACTGAGAGCTGAATGGAGGGTGAGCATGAGAGTGGGACCTAAGGAAGGTGAAAAGAAATAAGAGGAAAGAACTAGGAGGCAAAAGTTATTTATAGAGGTATAGGTATATACATGTATAAATGTAAATATATTAATTTATAACAATAGGGATATAAGTCCATGTACATGTATTTGTATGCTAAGTATTAAGAGAGCAGACAGATCTTGGTCCTCTACTCGAGGCCTCCCTTAACACAAGAACATTTTGTTCTAATAACCTGGCACCCTTTAATACTCACCT